TTAGCCTTTGAAAAAGACCTAACCTCCCTATAGTGGACACTCTTAAAAAGTCCCATAGGTATCCACTATAGGAAGATTTTACTGTAGGCCATTTGACACCATGTTAAACATACAAGTTAATAAAGCCATGGTATCGTATTTACCAAAAGATATATTGTTTGGATAAACAGAACGATCATTCAGTGAAGTCGAAGCAGGCTCGAACAAGTATCTTAGCAGCAGCATCACCCCATTCCTAGCAAGGCCTTCAAGTAACAGTATCGAAACCATTATTATCAAACAATAACATGATGATTTCCTTTTTTTTTTTTTACATAAGTCTTCTAAAATCATTTTTTGTATTGCTGATCATTCTTTATTTTCGATATTAATATGTATGTTGGCAGAGTTTTATTTAAGTAGGTATGAAATATGTTCAAATCAACAAAATCCTTTTTAATAATTTTTCAATCTATTTATTTTATTTTTCTTTTACATAAATAATTTACTAAGAAACTCATGAAAACAACTGTTCATCTAACTCTTTTAGATTAAGGTCATTATATCGTTCTGCAAAACTTATTTAGAGAAGAACGAATGATGTCGCTGATGTCTAGTGTTACATATAGTAATGAGAATGATTCGTTGATTTAAATCTCTTGTTTATCTAAAGGGCAAGTTTTTTTTTTTTCTTTTTCTTATTATATCATATACTATCCGATCGAAGGACACGTATTCAAAAGGCGGCATACAGAACAATATGACTGAAGATATCCGAATAACTAACGAAGGACAGGTACCAGTAGATGTTCGTCAAGCATTATTACGTGATGGAACCGATGTTCAAACAAAAGTTGGTCATGTTGCTAAATTTAATCATGATGGAGAAAGCAGTAAACTTGATGAAAATATTGCAGTAGAAGATTTTGATAATTATAAAAAACCAAAAGATAATAATGAATTTATTGGATTAACTAAAGAGGTATTTTTAAAGAAAATTATTTATTTATTTAACTAATACAATGTGTGTGTGTGTGTTTTGAAGGAATTAAAAGCATATATAAGTAATCCAAAATGGAAACGTATTCGTTGGTTAATTGCTATTTTATATCTTTTATTACTTGTATTACTTCTTGGTGGAGCTATTCTTTTGGTAATATTTTCTCCACGTTGTCCACCAAAACCAAAACTTGTTTGGTATCAAAAAGAAATTATTTATGAACTTGATGTTACAACATTTCGTGATTCTAATCAAGATGGAATTGGAGATATTAAAGGTTGTTATTTTTTTTTTTCATAGAGAAGAAAAAAAAAGGAAACAACATTCATTTATTGTGTTTTATAGGTGTTCAGGAAAAATTAAATTATTTGGAAAAAAATGATATAAAAGTCATTCTTCTTCAACCATCAATATTCAATGTAACAGCTGGAACATCAATTCAATTAAATGGACAAACCGCTCGTGCTACAAACACTGATTTATATACAATTGATCCATCAGTTGGAAATGATAATGATTTAAAAGATTTATTGAAAACTCTTAATCGAAAAGGTAAATTGAATATTTGAGTTAAGTTTTCTTTTTATCATGATCACCAAATTAGTTATAAAAACGTTTTTTTTTTGACATATTGAGACGATGTTTTGTAGTAAAACTTAAGAAAATTAGGTTAAAAAAAATCAGAAAAATTGAAATACATCAAAAGTATCAAGTCTGGGTAGTCTCCATATCTATTCGAACTTTTATTTTTACTCTTCACATAGTTAAGAAAATAATTATACATTTTTTTTGAAAAATATTGTTTGATTATTGAAAAAATTGATATGATATCAAAATGACATAAATACAAAGTTTCTATGCTGAAGTTTTCACTATCAGAAATTCAATTCTAAAAGAATCAATACAAACATCTGCATCAAATAGTATACTCAAAACTAATTTTCATCATATTTTAGTCCTTACATAGAAGTTCGACGATTTTAAAAATTTTAAATCTATTTTGAGAAATTTTTACTATCGAATTATTGAGATTAAAGAGACAGTGCATATTTCAGTACTTAAACAAAACAATATTAGACGTAATATATACTGAAATCTTTAATCTCAAGAATGAAAAAATGAAGATTTTTCGACATAGATTGAAAAAACATATATTTGTATCTATCCAATGATATAATGGTTTTGGCTCAATTTCAATTTTTTTTGGAACTCCCAAATTCTAGCTTTCACTATTATTTTCGAACATTCTGACCTGTGCTTCTTCCGAGATTGAAATTTGACGTTATTTATTTCTTTTGGAACTGAATTGCTAATGTTCAAAACCTTAGAATACAAATATTATGTTATCGATATCATATCAAAAGAAAAACCGATTTTCTCTACAATGAAAAGAAAAGTTCGGATAAATATAGAGCCGACCGAGACTTCATACTTTTGATTTATTTCAATTTTTCTGATTTTTTTTAACCTAATTTCGTAAATTTTATTTAAATTTTGAATTGTCAGCATCTTATTTATTTTTGTTTTTAAATTAGATATGCGTTTAATTATTGATTTACCATTATCATCAACATTTGATCCCAATGGTTATTCATGGTATGGATCTAATTCATCACTTCCTTCTAAAATAAATGTAATTAAATATTTTCAAATTAAAAAAAAAAAAAAAAAAAAAAAAAAAAAA